AGTAGTAGTAGTAGTAGTAGTAGTAGTGGTAGTAGTAGTAGTGGTAGTAGTAGTAGTAGTGGCGGGGAGACGAGAAGAGCTAGGAGCTGACGCTGGTAGAATCTGCAAACGTCAGTTTTAGCAATATAACCATCGATGTTATCATACTCCTTGCCACTATAGGTATTATCATTATTTGTTTCTTTTTAAATTAGATTTGAAAGAAGCACACGATACCAATTTGATAATTTAATCTTATTTGTACTGATTATCCTAGACTGCCCACTTTCTACAATGTTTCAACGAAAAGGCTCTTCTACTCTCTCTCTCTCTCTTTCTTTCTTTTCTCTCCTGTTTTTAACTAACAAGTCTATGTGATGATAATGTTACTTTCTTTTTCTATTCTTCTACTTTCTCCCTCTTTAGTTTTTTTTCTTTTCTTTCTGTAATTTTATTGATATGCAAAATGCAAGATAGCTAAGTAATTAAATGTATTTAATTATATATATTAGAAAATATATTTTATATACGTGTTATTTTTCAAAGTAATTGCATAAGAGTGTATACGATAAGACGAAATGAAGTATTATAGTGTTTCAATTTATTAATATGATGATCTAATTCGTAATCAGAAGTCTTTGGTTAATCATTGAAATTCATTTCAATACAAATAGAAAAAGTATAGTAATAAAAGAAGATATCAATTTACCGTTCCGTTAATAAAATATCAGACTTCGGATATCGAAGAACTATTAAAAATTGTACAATGACAAACCAGATTGTAGAGTACGATAATAATAATAAGAAGAAGAAGAAGAATAATAATTGTAATAAAATTGAAATTTTTACTTTGGATTCAAAAAATTAACACCAGATACCGCTGATTTACTTTTATTTCACCAGTCCTGCTTCTTCTTATACCGGGCAAAGTTCGAAGAGCAGTCTCCAACTTTAATAATTCTTGATCTTCATCAGAATTTTCTTTTTTCATTTGTTCCAAACTACCTCTTCATTGTTCCTTTACAGTAGAGCACTTAAGTCCTGCCCTCTCCAACTCGTGCTGATCGAAAAGTATTACTCAACCGTCAATATAGACGATTGTGCAATACCAGCTTTGCAAAATGGTGTCGTACATAATACTATACGTCAGATATGATCTGTTGTGATACTGCGTGCACGATAGCAATTATCACGATACAAGCTATACTTGCAAATACATACTTGCAAATTCATATTGTTCCATCTCTCCTAGCTGGGGCTCTAAAAATTGTATAAATTGTATAAAAAGACGATTACCTGGTATATTTGTTAATGGATGATCTTCTTGGACTTCTTGACAAAGACCTAAAAAAAATTTAAAAAACTGTTGTATGTATCTTCTGTTGATAGTATCGACGATCACCCTGTATCACTTTTTTTTCTCTTTCACTACTTGCACCTGAAAACTGTGAGCAATGAGGCTAAAAAAATCTTACCTTGGATAACGACCCAGAGATTTCCTACGAGGACTGCGAGATCTGGACCTATAAATTTGTCAAAAAGATATATGGTACGTAAGTCCTGTTCACTAAGCATATTCACAAGGACAATAAAATAGGACAAATGTGGGCTCTAAGCAATACTTAATAAAACACTACACCTCGTGACTATTATTTCCTCGAGCATCTCCCTTATCTGGAGGTATTCATGCAACTATTGTGCTCTTCAGCTAACGTCAAAGTTTCTTGTTCTTGTTGTTGTTTTTTTTTTTTTTACACTATTATGTAATAGAAATGCAATAGAATGTAATAAAAAAAAGTTACTGAAATTTTTCATTTAAATTGCTACATATTTCAAATTAGATAATACCAGTATATTTAAAATGAAGGCACTAGCCAGAAGAGCAGTGATATTGAACGAATGTAATATGAATATACTTGTTCTATCTTGCATTCCTATATTGAGACACGATATACATATAACAAAAAAAAAATTACACAAGTTATTGGTTCGTTGGTTGTGCATAAAAAAAGGTCATTTAAACCCTTAGACCTTTTTATTGATACCATTACTTAGACAGTTCACCATAATACCTACTTGGTGAGATACATAGCCATCTGCTGCAGCTTTAAAGTGGCTGTAAAATGCAGATATTTAACATCTGAAGATTTCTTACCTGGAATATCGTGGACCTGGCCTGCGACCACCACCACTATGTCTCCTTCTCCCAGTAGACATCTCTACCTTTACTTTTGTACCACAGCACCGTCTAAAAGTAAAATATCACATTCATTTAATGCATTCATAGCACTCAAAGGGTTAATGATATAAAAATACTCACGTTCCATCCAATCCTCTAACAGCATCCTCTGCGTCCCTTGGATCCTCAAACTCGACAAAAGCAAAACCTGGTGGATTTCTCGCAACCCATACGTTCCTCAATGGACCATACTTGCTAAATGCACTCTCGATTTCGTGTTTGCTAGCACTACTTCCCAAATTACCAATGTAGACTTTACAAGAGATTTCCCATTCTCGATAACGTGACATGGCTTATACTGTAATCAAGTCGAATAAAAAATTACTTAATGTTAAGGACATAAAAGTAAACAGATGAGTGAGAGAGAAAGGGCTAAAGAATAAAATAAAGAAGTGAAAATTGGTTTTAATAAATGAACACTTCCGCGGCGGAGCGTTCGAAAATGAATTGTGGTCAATGCTGCTGTCCGCTCGGAGCGAGCATTTATAGCTAAGCGCCAAAAGGGTTGAGAATTCAAGGAAAATAGTTTAAATGGAAGAAAACAGACATACATTCAAGCAGAAATAACAAATTATAACTTCAGTCAAAACGTTCAATCAGATGTGACAGAAAATTTGACTAATCACGTAAGCGTTCGTTTAGTTCATTTTTGAAGAAATATATCGACCGGTTATGATTAAACTATTAAGCATGCACTATGTAAATATATTCTATATTGTAATGTTAATAATAATTTTCATCATATCAAGTTCTTCGCGTATCATACAACACTTAATGGACTTTTTTCAAATATCGCAAAAATTAATAAATATAATAAAAAGTAATCGTAATGTCGCCATGTTATATTGATATATGACGCCATTGCAACATGGCTACGTTACAATTAAAAATTAAATAGAAATCGAATTATTTTTGTAACATTTATATAAGAGTATATCTTCAAAATTCACTCAATTTTGAAAAATATAAAAATAAAACACTTTTATATATTAACGCGTACGATAATAATTATAATTTCTACATTAAAACGTTGAAAACGATTATAACGAGGTGAACTGACGCCAACATTGCTTCGTCACTACTCCGACTTTAGTACGTCAAATTTTGTACTTCTGTCATCCAATCATTTTATTGTACATACTTTACGTTATTTTCTTCTGCCGAATCTTATTTTTACTTACTGCGGAGAAAACTGAGAGACCCACAAGCGAGAAACACTGCAAGTGCTACCACACTTTCCTACTCCGAGATGATAGCCGGAAGAATGCACGTGAAGTGGAAGTTTCTGATGATGCGTTCTTGCTTCTTCTCCAATAATAATCAAAATGGCGACAAGGCTTATACACACATATATATATATATATATGGTATACATATACTTTTGATTTTAAGTCAAATTGAAAATTATAAGAAAATTTATTATTATTTAATATTTTTTGCACAATTAATTACCTGAAATATATAATAAAAATATTTTCGCACAAAGACGCCAAGAACACAGGGGGCGCTTTGAAAATAGTAAGAATTAATCTAGTGACTACTTTAAAATCTGGTGGTGAAAAAAGAAAACTTAAATTTGCGATTTGCGTGGACAGATTTTGCCAATTAATACGTTTGAGCTCGTACTCCTTGTGTAGTTTCCATGGTTTGAGGCTAAACTCCCTGCAATGTGTTACCAATCGTCGAAAGTTAATTTTTTGTCTAGTAACGTCAATAAGTAACGTTCGGCCAATGGCTACGTTTTTTACTGATAGACTTTAATATTCTCTTATCACTCTTAATATGATTTGAGTTACTCTCTGACCGTAAAATATGAAAAATTTAATCAATAAATTTGGACTGTCGTCATCTGTAAAATGATATCAATCTTGTAATTATGTTTTGATTAATTAGATAGAAAGAAATCAGTGTAATATTTCTGAAATAAATAATTTATCTGATATAGTTATATTATATGTTTATATACAGTGCGAGTCGTCACCAAATTTGATTATTTCGAGTAACTTCTAAATTGTAAATCAGACAAAAACTTATTTTTACAAACGCGTATATATACATAAATGTAGATTATTTACTTATTGTATGTTATTAAATTAATTAGCAAAAAAGATATGACATTAATATTTTCTTTATATCATATAGAAGCATGTATTAATGAACAAGTCTTTTGTAATCAATTTTTTCAAGTTGAACCAAAGGTTTAAGTTGCTCTGCAAATATTCTCATATCTTCTGCTATTGCATCTTGACCGCTTGGCGCAAGAACGCTTAATTCTACTAAATAACTTTGGGATATAGCTTCAACGCTTTCAGGTATTTTTCCTTGTTGACCCATTTTGAAAATCTTTGATACTGTGACTTTCAGTCTACCTTTGCGGAACATGTAACCTCGAGCAATGTATTCAAAATCTAGTCTACAACCTAACTCGGTTAAAAATTCAACAACTGTATTGCTTGTAGCAATATCTATACTGCTGCGAACAATTGTAGGACGTGATTTGTCACCCAATTCAGGTTGACCTATGTATCTTAATTGCCAAGGCATATCTTGATAATCCAAAGCTCTCCTGACTCGTAATAATAATGGCTGTTCTGGAGGAGGTCCTCTGCAAAACAAAATATTTATATATAAACTTAAATTTATTTATTATTCATCAGTTTCTCTTTATGACTTTAATTAGATACCTTCTAATACTAAAGCACATTTCATGGTCGTTGAATGTTTCAGGTCCACTATCGACGTTGTCACATAATCCTCTTAATCTATGAAGCAACACTTCAACAACACTATCCATTACTGAGCCTTGGAGTAAGTACTCTTGATTTGGTATTATATTTGAATTTAATGCAGCACTTAATCTGTCCATCGCTGTACTTACTGGTGCCGTCATCTTGAAATATAATTAATTTTATATTGTAATATGTTATATAAAGCATTGAAAACACTTTTTAAGTTGTTCAAATGCGTATAATGCTTATTTTTCAATTAAAAAGTACAGTTATATTTATATCATCCTCAATGTTATTATACGTGAATTCAATAAATAAATAATTAATATGCATAGATTGTCCCAGAAGTAACTTAACCGGACTGAAAAGAAATAAATTCATTTTTAGTAGGTAGTGGCCCATACTTTTTGAAATAACATTGTACACCAAAATTCATATCTTTTGAAGTGGAAAAACAAAATATTTCAATTTTATTAATTAAATAATTTGAATGTTTTGTTTTGTTTTTCTTTTCACGGCAGAGCGACTTTTAGGACAGTTTGTATAATTATTTTTGTTTGAAATACTTTTTGGCCGTCAGATGCCATCACGAAAATCTAATTGAATGTCTTTGAATTTTGACGATTAAATATGGATACTTAAAAAATTTCTTCTTTGGTATAATCTCATAATATTATTACTCAAATATTGCTGATAGACTAAATTGTAAGAAAGGTTAGAGTCAATTTGTTATTTTATTCTCCGCGCGACTAAAGCGCCATAATCGTAAATACAGTAATCGGCGGGAGATTTAAAAATGGCACGTGTTCATTTTAAATCTGCCATTGTCCATTTAATCGTGGTCTTATCGAATAAAAACTATACAAATTGAAGAATTACTACTAATCTTGAATGAAAAAATACTTTTAATGGAAATTTCTTATTTTTATCATTCGTTGGTATTGCAACTTTCTATCATCTTGACTGATGCTATGCGTACTTTGGAGAAAAATATGTTTCATAGAAAAAATAATTTCTAAATCTCTCGCATAAACATTCCCTCGAGAAAAATTCTTCCCATTATCAGATCCGACTTTTATGCGATCCTATAAACTTATTCAATTCGTATTCTTAAGTCGATTTTTAAGACTCTTCGACTTGCAATATCAACATTAATATGATTTTATTTTAATTTAGTGGATATATCAGGAGCAAAGTGTAGTACACATACGTGATTTCTTCTGATTTTCTTAGATTATCATTATCCTTGCGGATTAGTAATGTTGGAAAGAAGTGACGAAGTTTTACTTCTATTTGCTGATCATTTTATTCTGCGTTATTTTTATTTTATTTTCAAATAATATATTATTGCGAGGATAAGAGAAAATTCGGAAAGAAATAGAAAAAGTAGATAACGAAGGGCGATTACTATTAGGAGTGTGCGTATAAATGTGTCTAAAATGTGTGTAAAAACGATTTCTTGATAAGGAAAGCTAAGGGAAATGTGTTTTTTCTTTGTGTCGCGTTGTGAGTGCACGAGAATCTATGTGTATGCGTGCATGCGTGTTTATGGCGTATTTAAAAGTCACGGATTTATCAAACAGACTTCGTATACAAATTTTGCATTTGAATATTATTATCTTATTGTTTAAATCGGTAGGAACTTTCTGGCCAATTCAATATTATCTTCTTTTGTTAATCAAGCTGAGCTATGATGTAGTTTCTATGTAAATAAAGTCATTTGTTTTGAACATTTCGTTTGCCGACTTTATACGAAAAATATCACCAGGGACTGAGGTTCCCAGGATATATAAAATCAGTATATTCCTAGAGTTATCTCAGGAGAATCTTCGTGTGAACTCTTCCATTAGTGTATATGTATATTCAGTACCTATTATATGCGTAATTTCGCGTGAAACCGACTTTAATTTGCTAGACCCCAACGAAAATTGCCTTTTGTCGTAGTTTCCATTTGTTTATCGACGGCTTTAGAAGGTTCATGTCATGTATCATAGATACAATTCTTTATTGTATGCTTCTTTTTTCTGATTACGCCATTGTTATTGTATACGTACATTTCAAATGCAAATGGAATTTGAATTCGTGCATTTGGTAACTTTTTGAAATCAGATGTGTTGTTTGAATCAGTTGTGCATTTACTATGCATAATACTACTATGCACTTTTACATTTTTACACTGTAAATCTTATAAGTATCGGGTTGTAACATGTATTCATTCCATTTTTTCCATTTTGTAAAAACGCCAAAAAAATTGGTTTTTTGTTTTAAATGTTTTTCCCAAATAGGGAAAACGGGATGAATGTATTACAACCTAAAATAAAGTTGCTATTTTATCTATTTTTTTGTTTCTGTATTTCGGTCAGATAAAAAAAACATGTTAGCAGGCTTTCGGACATGGCTGGTTTTAAGGAAATCAAACAAGATTGAAATTTAGCTGTCGAATCAGTTATCTGACAATTTAAATATTTATCTATAAGACATTTATATATAAAATTTTGGTTTGTTCTCTTTCGTTTTTTTTTCTTTTAAATTTGTTATTTGTTTGACTTTAGGAGTAGAAAATTCGAAGTGTGTTTGTTGTTCCGTTTCCATCGCGCTTTATCATCATTTTTGGTAAACTTTGTAAAAGGTAGTAAATGTAAATAAATATGGTATGTAGCATCGATCATCGGTCATATATCCTTGGCGTTGAAAAAAATTCGTTGTTGCAATAAATTCTTTCTTTCAAGAATAACAACGGTCGAAGCACGATGTAAAAAAGAGCATATGGTGGTCTTCGTATTTAGGTCGTGTGTTTGAAAAACAAAAAACAAATAAAACAAAAAAGAAACCATCTTTTTATGTATAATCCTGCGTGAATAAGTACTCCATACTTATTTCTTTCTTCCTTCATTTCTCTTTCGTAGTATAATAAATTCCAATGTTCCAACTTAAAAGTACAGTAACCATAAACAGTGTCCAGAAAATGTCAATGTACCAGCAGCTTACTCTTGCATCAACTTGTCCTTATATTAGTCGATTGCTTTGGAATGTTGGGTGAAAAGTTTCGCCAACGTTTCTACCGTGTGCATTGTGTATTTCGGTAATATAGAGTGCGTTCCTCTCTTTTCGTCGTTTCTTAAAAGCTTTAGGAAGGCGATCTTTTCTCGCCCTGTGTTCAGATAGAGAAGCAACGATGTGGATTCGCGATCGTAGGGAGATTTCGAGTGGAATGTCGAAGGAACGTTGAGCTCTACGTGTCATCGGGCTCGAAACGTCTCTGCTATGCCAACGTCGTATACTATTCGTTGCATTCTGCAAGATGCGCATACTTTCTTAATTCATTAACTCGCCCGTCTTTAATTTGTTTTTTTTTTGTCTTTCTATAACGATACGAATACAAGAGGCGTGTGTCGAAATAGAAATAAAAATAGAAAGTTATGCCAGTTAAAAAAGGATTTCGAATAGGTTTCGTTCGCTCGATTTGGAGGTAACCTGTAATATCTAGCAGAGGAGTATTCGAGGAAAGCGTTAACGTTACCTTACCCTCTAACACTCTATCCTCATTGATACCGAAGCACGAATTAAACGCCGAGAGAGCTGTTTCATCTCCGAGCGGAAATTAGTTTCACCCATCTCCGTACGTGTCGACGACGTTATTCGCCATCAACGCCGACAAAACCTTCGGATCGGGAATTTAAACGGGCTGAGAGAGGGAGAAATTGGGTATACCTTTAGGAGTCGAATAAGGACAACCAATTGCTCCAATTATATATAAATAAAAGTATAATTATTGAATGAACAACTCGAGAAATATATTTGTTAATTATAGAAGAACCATAAATAGAATATTGTTGAAACTTATCTCTCGAGTTTTTGGTCTAACTAAGGAAAAAAAATGAATACTTCCGTGAGTTATATTCCGAAGCACGTTCAAAACGAGCGCTACACATGTAACATATTAGAGTTGTTACGATCGAAGGAAGTACTCTTCGGGATCTAAGGGAAGTTTCTAGAAAGTTGGACGGTTTGTGGAAGAGTTGTATGGACGTTGCATGACGAACACGCGATTATCCAAACAATTTTTGCACGCGAGCACTAGGTGGATCCAACGTGTTGAAGGTTCCACCATTACACGACGTCCTTAGAGATTCATCGTTCTCTAGCCGGTAGATTTATTAGACTGCTTTTACGCTTCGATTACTTTCGAAATAGCTCCTTCCATCCTATTTACACTTCGATAAATCCTTATTAAGTAAAATAACGTTCGCGGTTTCCTATATTCAAAGGGGATCTTTATTTTATATTAAATTCCTTTATTATTACATCTATTTCTCTTATATAAAATACACCAATGTACCCTGACACCCGTTCGCACGTATATTCTTAAAGATTTTAATACTCCTACTACTACGATATTTTAGGGGTTTAAATTTGCCGAGAAAATATGAGTAAAAATCGTCGAAAAAAGGATAGAAATAAAATAAGGAACGAATTATCGATCTCGTATTTCTAACGAGTATTTTCAACTGTTCGTGACTAATTCGAATATAAAGATCTTATTTGCCAACGACAGATTTCATTCTTTGGGCTGACGCAGCAAGCATCCATCTAACGATAAATAGATTTCCACGATTAAGAGAAACGAGACAACGTGAGCTAAATCGTTTGCCGGTTTATTCATTCGTTTCTATTCTCAAAACTATGAACGCGTTACGAGCCAAGTTTCCGCGGTTTCGTTCATGCGACTCGTAACTCATGCAACGGCAAACTTAAGACGTGCGACGGACTCCTTGATATCTCTAGTTAGAGACTCGGTAATTACGGAGAGAGAGAAAGTAAAGCAAAGTGAATAATAATAATAATAATAATAATAATAATAGTAGTAGTAGTAATAATAATAATTCTAAATTATTCATACGTCAACGACGCGAAATCCTACGAGAAGTCAAGGAAAAAGAAATTCATTTACTTATTATTGCAGTAAGAAAAATTATCAAACGAACTCGAGACAGTCGTGTGGTATAATAGGAATATTATTTTCAAACTTACGACGGAGGAATTTGTTTTCGCGAACGAAGATAAATTAATTTAAACCCACTCGGACATTTGATCTCGTTTTATTATCTAACATCTTGATAAGTTAAAAGAAAATACAACACGAAGAATAGAAAGAACAATGGAAGCAAACTAGTAAATTTAGTTGTTTTCGATAGTTCCTCTCTCTCTCTCTCCGCATATTATTCTAGAGAGATAGAGACAGACAGACAGACAAACAGACGGAGGGTTGAGAGTAGACGATGGTAGGTTTGCCCAAGCACAGTTGGCCATGTTCCAAGATCCAACGTTTGTCGTTGTATCAATATTATCGGTCGTGCTCGGTCTAATTGCTCATTAGGATCCGTGGTCCGATGCCTATAACGTCCTACGACGTTTCTACTCTCTCTCTCTCTCTCTCTCTATGTATATGCATATGTATATACGTGCTAGCTGGAAGATAGTTCCCTAACTGCGATACTATTCCCACGTCGTTGCTCAAACCAAGCACGGGAGATTAATTATGTACATTACAGCTGGGATGGCCGCAGTATTAAAGCTCCTTACAAGACTTACCGGCCGCATTCTATACGATGCGATACCCATCCAATAGAGACAAGTATAAACTACAAGAGAAATGCAACTTTTGACAGTGATTAAACGATCTTTCACTATTATATTAAACTTAAATATCTTTTATATTTCTTTTAAT